TGTCCAGAAATCACCTGGACAAAACCATCCTCAGCCCCAGGGATGGGCTGGTGGGCAAAACCACGACACCAGGGCACTGTGCCTAGGCTGCCTTGGGCAGTTGCAGATCCCAGCCTGGGATCCCTGCAGGGCCCTGAGCTGGAGGGGCTGCTCTGCAGAGGGAGGGGCTGTGGCACCCTGGGCTGAGCCTGCCCTGGCCATGCTGGTCAGGCTGGCAAGCAGAGCCAGCAGGATGGGGATCACTGCTGCTGAACCCCTTTCCAACCTTTCAGAAAACTCAGTAGCCATGGACAAGGCAGGGCAGGATTATGGGGTGTCTCCAGTGGCACAAAGGAATCAAGGGGCTGCTGGGACACTGCAGGGCCTCAAGGAACCAAACGATCCCTGGGACACTGTGTGATGAAAAAGGGAATAGAATACAGAGGGGGATAATGTCATGGATTCAGGAGGGTTTTTTCATGGTAGAAAAGTAAACCTGGAACACTGCAGAACTTATGGAATCAAGGCTCCATTGGGATACTGGGAATATCATGGAACCAGAGAACTCTGTGGTACTCTGGGGACTCCTGGAAACTAAAGGCCATTGTGACACTACAGGGCCTCATGGAACCAAAGGAACCCAGGGACAATGTGGAATCTCATGGAATCAAAGGGGCTGTTATGACATGTGGGGCTCATGGAACCAAAGGGACCCTGTAACAGTGACGGGGGTGACATCAGACTGTGACCTGTCACTGCTGGGGTTTCACAGGGCTCCATCTTGTGCCCTGTGCTCTCCAACATCTCCATCAATGACTTGGACACAGCACTGGAAGGGACATTGAGTAAGTTTGCAGGTGACCCAAAACTGGGAGGAGCTGCTGAGCCCCTGCAAGGCAGGAAGGCCCTGCAGAGAGACCTGGACAGATCTGAGGGCTGGGAATCACCAACTATGGGAAGTTCAACAGGGGGAAGGGCTGGATCCTGCCCTAGGATGGGGAAACCCTGGGAGGATGGACACACTGGGAATGAGAGGCTGGGAAGCAGTGCCGGGAAAGGGCCCTGGGGGTGCTGGTGGGTGCCAGCTGTCCCTGAGTCAGCAGTGCCCTGGCAGCTAGGAGGGCCAAGCCTGTGCTGGGGGCATCAGGGAGGGGATTGTCCCGCTCTGCTCTGCCCTGGGGTGGTCTCACCTGCAAGATTGGGGCAGTTTGGGGGGACACAATGGAAGGGAGAGATTGAGCCATTGGAGAGTATTTAAAGGAGGCCACGAGGATAGGGGAGGGCCTGGAGGGGAAGGCGTGTGAGGACACTGAGGGCACTTGGTGTGTTCAACTGGAGAAGAGGAGACTGAGGGGAGACCTCACTGCAGTTCCAGCTTCCTCAGGAGGGGCAGAGGAGGAACAGGCCCTGAGCTCTGCTCTGAGTTCTTCCCTCAGAGGGTGGTTGGCACTGAACAGGCTCCCCAGGGCAGTGGGCACAGCACCAATGCTGACAGAGCTCCAGGATCACTTGGATGATCCTCTGGGGCACAGGCTGTGACTCGTGGGGATGGGCTTGGCCAGGGCTGAGGGTTGGACTCCATTACCTCCCCTGTTCCACCCTGTTTTCCACCCACCCTACACCCCCCTGGAATTCCTCGGAGGTCATAAAGCCACCCCTGGGACCAGGCACCAACACCTTTCTTGCTCTCTTCTTCTCTGGACCCCGTGCTTCTGGCATGTTTTCCTGCCCTCTGGAACTGGTCCAAGGCCTAGGCCCAGTCTCGTGGATCTGTTTTCTGTCCTGTCTCGCTTTCTATCAGTCTCTTCACAGCTGCATGAACCATCTTTGTTTTTACCAAAATTCTTGCCTGTAAAGGATCTTCACAAGAAATGGTAACTCTGCACTTTCCCTTGAGACCTTTCAAGCTCACTAAACTCCATGACTTCTGTGGTAGAGTTGTCCTTGTCAAGAGCTTGTCTAAAATACAGCAATTCTATGGCTCAGAATTTCTAACACAGTTCTTCATTTCACCCAAGGTGCTCCCAGTTGCTCCCAGGCCCCCCAGGATGGTTCCTTTCCCTCACAGGGACTCCCAGTCTGAGTCCAGTATGGCCCCAGGCACTGTCAGTCACTGCCTGAACGATGCCATTTGCCCCCTGCATGGTCCCAGTTGCTGCCAGTATGATCCCAGTATGAGCCCAGTCACCTCCAGTATGATCCCACTAACTTCCAGACACTTCCAGTACAAATCCAGTGTGGTCCCACTCATCCCCAGTATGGTTGCAGTCCTTCTCACACACTGCCAGTGTTATTGCAGTCACTCCCAGGATGATCCCTGTCAGTCCCAGTGTGATCCCAGTATGAGCCCAGCAGGGGCCCAGCTGCTCCCACTATGATCCCAGTTGCCCCCAGTGTGGTTCCAGTTGCTCCCATTAACCACTTCTCTGGTTCCAGTAACCCCCAGGATGATCTCAGTCACTTCCAGTACAATACCACACTATCCTAGGAGGATCTAAGTTACCCCCTGCATGGGCCCAGTTGCTCCCAGTCACCCCACTCTAGTTCCAGTCTCTCCCAGTAAGATCCCTGTCACTGCCAGTCTCTCCCAGTATATCCCAGTCGACCTCAGCATGCTCCCAGTCACACCAGTTATGCTCCCTGTCAGTCCCAGTGTGGTCCTGGTCGCTCCCAGTATAATCCCAGGTGCCTCCAGTGTGGTGGCTCCAGGATAGATCAGGAATGGGGAGCCCCGTGTGTCGTCCCCACCCGTGTAACCCTGTTCAGGGGGGGGCTTTGGTGGAACACCTGCACCCTAACACGGCACCCAGCGCTCCCCAAAAGGTGCTGGGACCCCCATAAACCGCCCCCGAGTCCCACAAGGACTCCCCAGGCTGCTCTGACCCCACCCAGACCCCCCAAATCCCTCATGTGGGGAGACCTCTCTTGGCACTGGTGGTGCCGGAGCCCCCCCGGCTGCGGGGGCAGCTCCTCCGTGTGCGGGCAGAGCCGCAGCCCCAGCGCTCCCCACCTCGAGCCCACCGGGCCCCCCCCTCGCCCCCAGCGCCCCCCGGGACGGCAATTTGGGCAGGGGGGAGGGGAAGGGGGGGCTCAAAGGGGGCGCTGGGGCTGGGCCGGGGGGGAAGGGCTGCAGGGGGCGGATCCCGGAGGCGGAACATGGAAAAAGAGGCGGGACAGCCAAGGCAGGAGCCGAGCGGGAGGACAAAGAAGAGGAGGAAGCAGCACGTGGGGGTCGCTCGGTAATGGCGGGACGGGGGCGAGACCGGTTTTGGGGTCCCCCGTGAGAGCCGGGGGGGAACCCCGGTAGCCGCGGTGTGGGGAGAGCGGAGGGGGCGATCCCGGAGCTGAGGGACCCCCGCAATCCGGGAGTGTGGGGGGGAGCACAGAGGGAGCGCCGGGCCCCTTAAACGGGGGTCGCGGAGAGGGGGAACCCCTTGGAGTCTGGAGAGGAGGGGGAGCAGCAGTGGGAAGGGGGGAGGAGCCGGTACCCTGAATAGCCCGGAGAGAGCGGGGACCCCTGGGACCGAGCAGCACCCCGAAGGAAAAAGTCAAGGGAGAAGGAGTACTGAGATCCCCAAAATCCCCGGCATCCCTAAAGATGACTCTATAGAGGGGAACCCCCAGGACCCACCGGACCCCCAGCAGCCCGGAGAACGGAGAGCCCAGAGCACCCAAGGGGGGAGCCCATAGAGGGGACCCCTGGATTCCTGGGACTCCCTTCTACCGGGAGAGGACGAGCACCAAGGTACGGGGAGCCCCCTAATAAATGCAAGACCCTCAGCAGCCCAGAGAGGGGGAACTCCTGGGAGTTTTGGGCTGGTGGTTTGGAGGTTTTTATGGGCTCGGGAGAGCCAGGGGTGGGGGGTAGGAACAGCAGAGTGGGGAGACCAGAGCGATACTGGAGCTGGGGGACCCCCAGCTGGCTGGAGGGGGAGCACGGAGAAGGGGGAGGCCCAGGATCCCCAGGACCCTGAAACGGGGGGGCCCAGAGAAGAGGGACCCTGGACAGGGGACACGCAGGGGACGCACTTGGGATCCCTGGGACAACAAGGTGGAGAACTCAGAGTGGGTGATTGCCTGGGAACCCGGCACCCTGAGGCAGAGAGCCAGGGGAGAAGGGACCCCTGGGACCCCCAAAACCCCCCAGCATCCCTAGGCAGGACCCCCAGCAACCCAGAGAGGGGAGATCCCCAGACTCCTAGAGTGAAGAGAGCAGAGAAGGGGAACTTCTGAGAAGATTTTTCTGAACTGAATCTTCATATTTTGAAGTATTTTCTGGCTGAATCATGATCTTTTGCAGATTTAGGGGGAGTTTTTGAGTTTTTTTTTTTTTTGTTTTTTTGTTTTTTTTTTTCTCAGATCTCAGTGTTCTATGTTTTTCCAGGCTAAATCTTGGTGTTTTGGAGGTTTTTAGGTCCTAGGATGGCCGGTGAGTCCTAGGGATGGACTTGGGCAGGAGGAACCCTCAAACCATCGTGCTCAGCCCTTGTTTCCCCCCAGTAGGATTTGTCCTTCCCAAAGCTTGGGTGGATGGAGGAGGAGGCTGCAAGGAAGAGAAAGCTGCCACGGGCCCCCCAGGCAGGTGAGGAGGAAGTCAGTGCCCCTTTGGCCCTGTCTTGTGGTGCCTGTGGCAGTCGAGCATCGCCCCCGGCTGCAGGACAACCCCGCTGGTGCCGCCGTCCTGCCGGGGCTAGATCTGGGGGATGTCCTTGGCCTTCCCTCTGGGCCAGAGGCAAATCCCCTGCCTGTCCTTCTTCCTTCCTGCCCCAGGCCCCGAGCTGAGGACGGAGAGCATGGAGGACAAATCCCCCCGGCAGAGCCTGGTGGGAGAGGCCGTTTTGAAGGGCTCCCCGGCACAGGAAGGCAGCGGGGAGGAAAAGGCCCGGAGGTGCCCCCGGAGGAGGGGCTGCAAAGACAGCCCAGGGAACTCTGAGGAGGAAAGACCCAGCCTGTTCCGGGAAGGTGGCCAGAGCTTGAGCCAGAACTCCGAGCTGGTGGTCCCTGAGCAGCCTCCCAGCAGGGAGAAGCCCTTCAGGTGTTTGGAATGTGGGAAGAGCTTCAGGCAGAGCAACCACCTCCTCACCCACCAGCACATCCACACTGGGGAACGGCCCTACACGTGTAGGGAATGTGGGAAGAGCTTCAGGAGCAGCTCCAGCATGATCAAACACCAGCATATCCACACTGGAGAAAGGCCCTACAAGTGCTTGCAATGTGGGGAGAACTTCAGAGACAGCTCTGCCCTGATCCGACACCAGCGCATCCACACTGGGGAACGGCCCTACACATGTGGGGAATGTGGGAAGAGCTTCAGGCAGAGCTCCCACCTCCTCAGGCACCAGCTCATCCACACTGGGGAACGGCCCTACACATGTGGGGAATGTGGGAAGAGGTTTCAGACCAGCTCAGCTCTCCTCAGGCATGAGCAGGCACACACAGAGGAGAGGCCCTTCCGCTGCACCGACTGCGGGAAGGGCTTCAAACGCAACTCCACCCTTGTCAAACACCGGCGCATCCACACCAGGCAGAGGCCCTACAAGTGTGGGGAGTGTGGGAAGAGCTTCACCCAGAGCTCTAACTTGACCAGACACCAATGGACCCACCAGTAAGGGAAGCCCTACGAGTGCCCCAACTGAGGGAAGAGCTTTGGCCGCTGCTCCCACCCGGAATGACCCCCTGATGGTGAGGCAACCCCTGGAGTCCAGTGACTGTCAGTCCATCCCTTTCCACCAGAAAAGGCCAGTCCCCTTTGCCAGGGGCAGGTTGTGCCAACAGATCCATTCTTGGGGGATGTGTGGAGATTCCTGCCTTGGCTGGGGACCCCCCAAGGTCACTGCTGGAGGTTGAGACAGAGATCTCTCCATGAACATTGGTCTGGGGGAGTTTCATCCATGTCTAATTCATAATTCTTACTTTGGTGCCAGCTTGAGTAGAATTGCTTCAACAATTGCTTTAGTGTAGAGCACTGTTCGATGTTATGCTGTCCTACTGGCAGTTTTAGTGTTTCTATTGTGCAGTAAATAATTCTGATGAAGATCTTTTGTCTGATCATTTGTTACCCTAAATAATTAATTTCTATCAATAGATGTGATTTGCCATGATTAAAACCTGGGGGACAAAAGTCATTCAGTCCCCCCTCTGTAATTCCTCTAACCTGAAAGTGTTGGCATAACCCAAGGTTGAGATTGGATCCAGCAGCCCCAGCACCCCACAGTCAGTTGGGAGCTCAGGGGGCCACCCCCTTTTCCAACCTCCTTGTACCCAAAGACCCCCATGGGACCGCTGGATCCACCAGACCACCCCCCCCTTTTCCACCCTTCTCCCTGTTCCTCCCACTTTTCCATGGTCCCTCGTTATAGTCTGCCTTACTATTGTAGATGGAGCTTCAGATTCGAATATTCCCTTGAGCAAAACTAAAACTCACACAAGTTATCTGTTGATACCAAAACCTGATTTTATTAATTGCTAAGAGGTGCAAAGAGAAAGGAAAACATAAGAAAAGGTAGGAAACCACCATGCTACCTTTTCCACTGAGCTGGTCTGTGTGTGGGGGAAGAGAAGCAGTTTCTGCCTTTTTTTTGTCTGTCCCTGCAGCTTTTGGATGTTGTCTCTGTAGCTGCAGGGGGTCTGACAGCTTTAGTTCTCTGCAATGCACCATGTGTGGTTTCACCACTCACGCCCCTGTCCCAGACCCTGCAGGGTCTCAGCTCAGCCGAAGCTTTGGGCCCTCAGAAATATGGTCAGGGTAGAAGGATAAGGTAGAACTCCCACATGTGGCACGGTGGTCTCAGCTCTCTCCAGGCCGGCACAGTTCCAGTCTCCGGTGGCAGGCAGGCAGCACACGGTGGTGGAGAAAAGGTGAGGGGAGGTGGGCAGAGATTCTCGGCTACAGTCACCAATTTTCTCTCCCTTTCCTTTCCCTGATTTTCCAGAATTTGCCCTCAACTTTTATAGTGTTCAAAGGAGGTTGAATGTGGTTTCTTGTCATGTAGCCAGTTTAGATGTTGGAGATATGATAACCATAAACAATAACAGGATCTATTGGCAGGAAAAGTGCCGTGGGAAGTCCTGGTGGGAACTTCTGGCAAAGAGCTGATAGAGAATGTTTGATAGGAAGGTTTTGACAGGCAGAAACAATTTTTGGCATTCGTATATTATCTATGTGTTGCAGATGGTTGCCATGGTAAGTGCCGTAACAGGGAATGCATCATTGTTACCATGGTAACTGACCATAGCAATGGGATAGTATGATGGTTTCCATGGTAAGCTACGCATCAATAGGAATGCATAATGGTTGCCGATGCAAAATGTATTAACCTAGCCTAGCAATGTAAATGCACAATGGTTCCCATGGTAACCCACATGACAATATGAATGCATAAAGGTTGCCATGGTAACTGGAGTATTAATGAGAATACATAATGGTTACCACGATAACTGACCGTAACAATGAGAATACATAAGAGTTGCCATGATAAACAACGTAACAACCAGAATGCATAATGGTTTTCATGGTAACCGACGTAACAATTAGAATGTGTAATTTTTGCCATGGTAAGCGACTTCACTATGAGAATGGGTAATGGTTGCCAGGGTAACCAGCATAAGAATGAGAATGCATAATGGTTTCCATGGTAACTGGTGTAACAATTTGAATGCATAATGGTTGCCATGGTAACCACTTGTAACAATGAGAATGCATAATGGTTACCATGATGTAAGGGGGTACTTTTGATTTAGATGATCAATGGAGCACAGAGGGGTGAGAAAATGATTATATTCGCATGTGAAACCAGCCAGAATGTTGTACAGTGTAACTTTATTGCACAAGTTCACTGTAAGGCCCATTGTGCCTTTAGCAAAGTTAACTGGATCTCCCCCATTATCAGAGCTGAGTTCCTCCTTGGCTTGGCTCCACTCTGCAAGAGCGATACAAATCCCCTTGAAACACAATGGTACAGGTCATCCATAGGGCTGAGGAAGGTGATGGAGAGGAAGATGATGTGGGCAGGGATCGTTGGCCCCTTGCCCTACAGTGGGGCACGCCCAGACTGTTGCCATGAGGTGATGAACGGGTCCTGTTTGACTGCCACTCAAGCACCACCTTCTGCTGCGTCCTGGCCCTACGTAGTGTAATGTAGAGCTGATGGAATGGGGTGTCAGCACTGCTAGGGGGAGCGATGCTCATCCTTCCATCCACACTGTGCTGCTCTGCGGGGACACCCGCCAAGCACGGGCACCGACCAACCCTGCAGAGCCTGGTAGGCCTGGCCTGTCTGTGCAGGTGAGCACAGTTTATTGATAGGAAGCAACCAAGGAAGCAAACATTTTATATCCTTTTTTTTTTGTATCCCTTTAATTCTCTTTTTACTAGCTAATGCTGTAATAAAAGCTGTTTGTAGTATTGTATGCATGGCAACTGATAATGTAGTGGTTTTGTATTTTTCAACTTTTGATTCTCTTTGCTAGTATTTTTTTTTTATTCTCACTGCAATAAAAGATTTTTGTAGTGTTTGAATGGCTATTGTACTTGTCTTTACTCCGGGCACAGATTCAAACTAATTAATACAGAAGGGACTGGCAAGAGGATTCAGGGGGTTCTGGGTGGGCTGGGGGAGACCAGGACGGGGTTTGTGGGGTCTTGGGTGGTCTATGGGAGGTTTTGGGCGTCCTGACCCCCCCCGGATCCCCCCAGAGATGCCACAGGACACCATCCACAGCAAGATCCTTGTGGGGGTCGGGGGCTTCGTGTTGGGCTTTGTCTTCCTGGCACTGGGGCTCAGCTTCTACCTGTGGGAGAAGGTAAAGGGGGGTCTGCAGGGGTCGTGTCCCTCCCTTCCCCAGAGCATGTGTGCCCCCCTGCCCCCCAGCCCACTGTCACCCCCTTTCTCTCCCCACAGAGCTCCTGAGCTGGCGGTGGTCACAGCCCCTCCCCGTGGCCTCGGGCCCAGCCTGGACCCCCCAGTCCATCCCAACCCAGAGTTTGGGCAGGTCACCACCCCCGGCCCTGCTTTTGTTCTCACACCGCAGCCGCCTGCTGCTCCCAGTGCTCCCAGTAAAGCTTCCCAGTTCTCTGCAGTCCTGGTGTTGAAGGGCAGGTGCCCTCCCAAAGCCCCCTCAGAATCAGCTTATGCCAATTGTACAGTGGTTCGCACCCCTTGTCTTTCTGCTTCAAGGAGTGTGTATTTTTCTGCCATGTCTGGTTCAATGTTTTCGCAGCTTAATGGCTCAAACTGTGTCTGCTTTGTTTAAAGAAAAAGGGGGAAGTGTAGGGATTTTTAGTGCTAACATAGAGGATATGCTGCTATGAGAAATAATATTTTATGTTACAATTATGAAAACATGATCTGTTGTTCTGATGGCCTTTTGATGGTACCAGGATGTGAAAGATCTACCAAGAGAATCAGTAACAAAACTAGATATACAAAACAGGGTCTCAGTTCCGGCTATCAGAGTGAGAAAGGACATAAAGAATGTTAAAGAAACAGAGCTGATAGAAGAGTATTGTTAGAAAACTGGATAAAAGACTGCTGCTTGATTCCAATCAACGGCACTCTCTGATCATCACATTGGTGTGCTGAGTCGTCCCTGCTCGCATGAAAACCCCCCAGGCAGGTGCCCTCCCAAAGGCCCCCAAACATCCCCAACATCCCCAGTGATGTCACCACTGTCCCTGTGATGTCACTGGTGTTCCCAGGAGTGTCCCATGGGGCATCCCCAGTGTCCCCAATGATGTCACGTCTGTCCCTCTGACCTCACTGACATCCCCAATAATATCACTGCTGTCCCTGTGATGTCAGTGGTCTCCTGTGATGTCAGTGCTGTCCCCTCTGATGTCGCCAATGTCCCCAGTGATGTCACAGCTGTCCCTGTGATGTCACCATTGTCTACTGTGATGTCACCATTGTCTACTGTGATGTCACTGGTGTCACTGTGTTGTCACCCCTGTCCTTGTGAAGTCACCACTGTCCCCTCTGATGTCACTGATGTCCATGTGACATCATGGCTGTCCCTTTGTGGTCACCAGTCCTCTGTAATGCCATTCATCCTCAATGATGTCACCGATGTCACTGTGATGTCACCACTGTCCCCTGTGATGTAACCAATGTCCCTGGTGATGTCACTAGTCTCTCTGTGATGTCACCAGTGTCCTTGTGAAGTCACCAATGTCCCCTGTGATGTCACTGCTCTCCCTGTGATGTCACAACTGTCCCCAGCAGTGACACCATGTCCCTGTGATGTAACCAATGTCCGTGTGATGTCACCAGACCCCTGTAATGTCACTGGTCCTCAATAATGTCACCGTTGTCCCTATGATTACACGATTGTCCCCTGTGATTTCACTGCTGTCTCTGTAATGTCACCCTTTTCCTTGTTAAGTCACCAATGTCGCCATTGATGTCACCAATAGCCCTGTGACATCACGGCTTTCCCTTTGTTGTCAACACTTCCCTGTGAGGTCACTGGCCCCCAGTGATGTCACCGATGTCCCTATAATGTCACCACTCTCCCCTGTGACGTCACCAATGTCCCCCATGATATCACTGGTGTCTCTGTGTTGTCACCTCCACCCTCTGTGATGTCACCAATGTCCCTGTGACATCACGGC